GGAGCCCCTCCGGTCGGGGAACAAGAGCAGATAGATAGATTAGGCATGATGAATGAAGATCTGCCTCTATCTGCGACACAATGATACGGTTATGAGAGGATTTGAATGCTAATGTGCAGCGTTTTCAGAGAAATCCGAAAGGGTTGGTGTGTGCAGCCGGATCTTCTCCTGAGTTGTGTGATAGAGAGAATATGTTAATAATGGGGTGTTGGAAGGTGAAGTGGGGCACCGGGGGCAGGATTAGACAAGGAGGGAGGGGGGGAGGGGTTGGTGGTGGTGGTAATTCAATGTTGGACGTCTTCAGCATTTCAAGCTTTTGTAGATTTGCAATTTAAGAAATGAAGAAAATGAAGCGTGATGAACCATTTCTGTCGGACAAATTACCGTCAGATCGGTTGGTGTCATTTAACATATTTTGTAATCAACGCTGTTCAGCTGCTTGCCTTTTACGTCCTCTGATATTACATTTAACGCTTACCTGTAAACTTTTACACCATTGTGGCTCAACCCTGAGTGAATGACCCTCCGCCTGCTATTTATGAGTCCTCGCTTCACAGAGCATTTATTTCATTACATCAAACATGGGCCCACAGAAGTAAAACCTTAAGAGGGCGGCGGGTTTTTATGACGCGTGTAGAGATATGTATTTTATCCACTTATTGAGGGCTTACTGTCTATAGTGAGACTCCCCCGGCTGATCATCACGGACTGCATGAAACAGGACCAGTTACTCGAAGGCCTCGTCCTCGTGAGAGGCTTGTCACATGATGACGGCAAGGTCATCCAGATCGGGGCGGAGCTTCAGAGCATCAAGACGTCTCCTCGCGGCGAAAAAAAGCGAGGCCGACGCGTCGGTGTCTTGAACTTTGCGCGTACCTTCCTCCCCACTCCTCGACCGAGGCCTCGTCGACCCCGAAAAACAAATCCTAAGTGGGGCAGGTGAGTAAGAAGCAGCCATTTCTCAGAATGTGGCCACTCAGAGGAAAACAAGAAAATGCTCTATTCAGCGTTTGCAGTTTTTTTAAAGGATGGAGCGAGGTGAATACCTACAAGCGTCATGCTTTGGAAATTCGGGAACAAGCTGTACTGAATTAGTAAACGCCTGGGAGTAGAGGGAAACGTTGCACAACTTGGGTCACATGTCCTGTTAAGTCCTGGAAGATCAAAGGCATGACAGCACTTGAACTAATATGCATCTTATTAAAATTGAGCAGTGTCATGATTCACAAGGAGAGGTTAGCACAGTTCACTTAATGCGGTGATGGTGGAATGTTTTATTCAGTTTATTCCCGCTGAAGCTGCGACAGGCTCCAGTTTCGCACTGTTCCTGTCGCTTTAAGCTCTTGATCTCGGCGTTTTGCACATTTGTTTAGGTTTGTCCTGCGTGAAAAGCTGAAATCATACAGGAGAACCATGTTATGTTCCTCAGCAGCTTTAAAGAAACAAAGCAAGAAGATCCACTACTTTTTCCCCAATGTGATGACTTTAAAAAAAGAAGAAAAAAAAAAAGAAAGAGTGCCGCCATCTCACTGATATTAACTGTCAACCGTTAATTTGCACACGTAGGCACGCGTGTCCCACACAGCCGAGCAACCGACTCCTTCTTGTGTCGCAAATTAAGTACCGGCTGAGCGATTCCAGTCATTTGAGATATCAGGCCAGGCTGCTCTTTAATTTCTGAGGCACACCACTTATGCATGGCCGATGAGCTTGATGAAAACAAGCAAGCAGGTTAACAGGGACATGGTAAATTACACCTGCACACCTGGCCCCAGAGGGAAGGTGTGACTTTGAGGTAATGCTCAGCACCCCGTTGCTCTCTGGCGCTGTCGAAATTGAGGAGCCATTGTGGATTGTTTTTCAAAGGAGATGTGGGGAAAAAGTCCAAACAAACACACGAGTGAAGCCCAGCATATAAACCAGTGCCCTCCAGAATATGACCCAATGTCATTGACGTGTGCATCAATTAATGCCGGGATGCTTTCAATCTGCTCAGTGTACTTTGCCTTTCCCCGTTCGACTGACTGTACTTGAGAGGACAAGGGACAGCATTCATTCTGAGGGACGCCTCTGCTGCTGCATTACAATGCAAAGAGAGGAACAGTTGCCCTAAATTTGGTGTCTGTGTGAGTGTCCATTTCTGCATGCCGGCGTGCGTGCTGCTCATTTCTGCAAACGGGGGAGCAGGAGAGAGGCAGCGATCGTAGAAAACTGCTCTAATAAGGGCGAGCTGGTGTCTTTGAGTGATGGCTTCCCGACTTGCTGATGCACAGAGGTCGGTGGGTGCCCCCCCCCCGTCTGAGACGCCACGTGCTTCTCGTCATCCCCGATCTTGGGGACGGAGATGTGAGATTCTGTTTTTGCGCATGATATGGCACAATTTGAATCTCAGTTACCAAGGGAGAGGAGGGGGAGGTGGGGGGGGGGGGAGCACTGACCCGTCCACAGCACAAACCCTGAGCTGCCGTGATGGACATAATTGTGCCGTGATTGGTTTGACCCTCTCTGGGATCACGATGAATAACAGTTGTACGTTGAATGGCGGCGGTTAGCGACACAAAACGAATGCCACAATCCATTGAATCGACATAATTAAAAACAGTGAGATTTCACCGGCGAGACATATTCCCGTCGTGACCTAAAAGTGGCGAGAGATGCTGGAAAAATGGACAGAGGCGATGCACTATCCCTCCCTCCTCGCGGGAGGGCTGTCTGGCTGCGCTCGGGCCAAACATCTGATCGTGCATTTCTAAAGACGGTCGTGAGTAGCCGCTCGCTTGCAAGTCGAGGCCCGAGACGGTCAAGTGGCTTCACGCCGTTCAAAATGAGCCGGGCCGATATCGGGCTGAGGCAAAGAGGAGAGATATTATCTCCTTCTGCTTGGATTACGTATCAGTAAATGTGATTGGGCAATGAAAGCGGTCAGGCCTCGGTGACTTTGCAGCCACTGCCGCCCCGGCTGCATGCAGGCACGGAGTCTTGAGGGGGTTTGTTTCGGGTCAGTGGTGGCATAAGAGCTCAAAACAGCATTGCAGAGTCAGACCGGGGCCTTTGCTCTGTCTGCTTCACCGACTGGCTGCGCTGGCTGGAGGCACGGCGGCAGCGGCATACTGATCCTGGCGATGGCGCTATAAATATTGATGATGCAGATAGCGAGAAGCAGTGCATGAAGGCGGCGTACTTGAAATTAAAACCCTGGTGATCATCAAGTGCGATGCTTAATAGCTGTTTTTCGACTCCTCGTGATTCAAGCGCCACGCGGAACGGTTTGGTTCCCGCAGCGCTCCGAGGAAGACCAAACGAGGCGGCGAGACAGAAGCGTGGGCGCGCTGTCGCACGTGGTGACACGTCATCAAAACGGCCGATGAGGCCGTGGCTCCTCGGAGGCCGTTAAGAGCCGCGGAAGAGGGAGTTGGCGAAGCTTTACGCCGTCGCTGCGATGATTCAAAGTTCGTGTTGCGGTGAAGGCGATCACGTGAATCCGTTCATGCCTTCGCCGTTTGTTTTCCCGTTCCCTGGTCCCTCCGATATGTAGCGCGTTGACTCGCTTGTGCTGCTTTATTCACATATTTGGCCCCTCTTGCCCTTTTCTTTTTCTGGTGGCGTTGGAAAGGGTGGCGCGGTGTGAAAGCTCAAAACATAATGGCTACATTTGGTGTAAATGATCAAAGCGACGCGTAGGCTACGGCTGATGTGTCGGGTGTCACTTGGAAGTTGCGTGAGGCAAAAGCAGATCGGGTCCGGGAACTTTCCCGTCACACAGCGGCGTTTGGTGAAGTGACGCCCTGCTTCGGGAGCATCGGAGCCGGGCTGCAGACGCCCCGAGCCCCCCCGCCGACGTGACGGAGACACGCAAGATGGTGAGTGGTTACTATGGCAGGTTACTATGGCAACCTCAGGTCTCTCCGAGAGCTTCCATTTTGCACAGCGTGGGAGAGAGGGAGAGACAGAGTGGGGTGGAGAGAAGAACCCGACGAGAGAGGAGAAGGGTGGAGAAAGCGGCAGAGGAGGTGAGGTGTGGAAACAAACGGGCCTTAGGGGTAGGAAAGGAAAGGAGGGCAAAGAGAGGAGCGGATGCGGGGTGGGGGGGGCGATTGATGGGTGAGACTGAGGTGTGAGAGGAGCCGACCGAAGGCCGGTGAAGGCGATCATGTGGCCCGTTGGACCAGATCTGCTCTGCATTCACGCGGCCCGGCAGAATATTTCAGCACTGCCTTGTAATCATTCTGGTGCTGCGCAGCGGGTTTCCACTCTCTCCCTCTCCCCTTTTCTCTCTCTCTCTCTCTCCTCTCTTCATTCAGTTGGCACGGCACTATGAGGCAGGAGACGTCGTGTCAGTCTTGGCGACTGGTCTCCATGGAAACGTCCATCAGTCAGTCCGTGTCAGTGTTTCGTGGGCATAGCCTTATCGTGTTTGGCAGTGTGAGTGTTTATCTGTCTGCGTATTAGTCAGCGTGTCACTCTTAAAGGAGGCCGGGGCGAGGCCCGAATGGATGGGGGCCGAGGGAGGGTTGCGTATCACCGACGCGCGCAGACGCTTGTTTGTTTCGTTTGTTTATTTTTGTTTGTAAAAAAGCCTGCGAGGTGACGCGTGCAGTCACGGAGCTGGAGATGCGTGTGGACACACACTAGTGTGTCCACCTCCGCCTCCTCATGCTGAATTTAGACATCACTGTCTAAATGTTTATATCCCCTCTTTTCCACGTCTGATCACCTAATTAATCGCTGATCCTGTTACAGGGTAAGACGTGCTGCAGTGCACCGCTGATGTTGCACTCCTTTGTCTTCTGCATATCTCAAACGGTACCTTGTGGCACAGTGTACAGCAACAAGACGCTATGTCAAAACATTGTGTTACTGAATCACATTCAAACTGTGATCTCTGAACTGCCGTGTTCTTTTTACACTGGAGATACACAGATGTGTGTTACACTCTTTACCCTTTACATATTTTATAGCACAGCTCACTTGCCTCCATAGACTGTAAAAAGGGAGTCAATGTAGTCGCTGGTTCTATGATCGCCACTTTGAGGCTTCGAATTCAGAATCCCGGTATTAGCATAGCATAGCATTATAGAAGGCCATAGGTCCGTTGGTCCAATCCGACACTGACGATGTCACCTTGACCTTGAGCCGTAAAACGAATATTTCTAATGATTATATACTCCTATACATGACCGCAAAAACATGGTTCTGCACTGTCACATAGTTCAGGGGGAGTGGAGAGCTTGAGTGTTTGCTCATGACATAACATGCATGCGGAGTTCCTGCTCATTCAAACTGAAATGAGACAACCCAGAAAAGATGTGATTCAACTAGCCAGTCAGATTCGGCTCCCCCTCCCTCTCCCTCATGCATGCTCACATACTGTGGTGTTCCCGCCCACGAGCTTGAGATGCACAACATGATATATAACGAATCTAATGATGACATTGAAGATTTCACGTTCAAGTTCATTTAATTAATTTACCAAACCTTTATCTTTGAATTCGAAATGTAATCTTTTCCTCCAGTTATTATTGCACGAGGGCCCGCTGAACGCGGCTTAAACTGACCCCGTCCCAGAAATGTGACCAAGCACAACACATACAATCCCGGGGAGTCAAAGTTGACACGCTACAGTTTGACCTCACAAAAGAAATCTCACACACACACACACACACACACACACAATCGTGGTTTCTCCTGAGCGGAAAAAAAAAAAGTGAGGGCAACCTGAAACACATAAACGCTGAACTGAGTCTTCCTCTCCGAAAGAGCTGGGGGCAACAAACGCTCGGCTCAGAGAGACTGGAAAATGGTTTTTTAGAGCAGCCCAAAAACTGTGCAGTTTACAATGCGCGAGAAATGGCTGAGAGACATTTTGATTAGCTGCTGGCTTTGGCTCCCCCCTCAGCGCACATATTGAATTCATCAACACACTTAACAACCTTAAATACGGATTAATTGTTCACCGAATCAGCGTCCCGAATATGCAGTGCCACAGAACGGACAGTTAATAACTGGATTTATTTGAAGTTGAGAGCTGGCGTTGTGAATGTGAAGATGTTAACATTAAAAAGACTTTTATCCCGGCGTGTCGTGACAAGTGGTGTGAAGCCCCCAGTTAGGGATTTGAACATGTGTGGTAGGTAATGTGATGTCTGTTAATGGGAGCGCTTTAGCAGGGTGATGAACACAGCGACTTTTAATCTGCAGCTCTTGGCCCCCTCTGAACGGGGGAGGAGGTCCCCGCTCCTGTAGGAGCAATTCTGAATAGATGAGGGCTTCTCTCTGCATCCTGCATCCTAATGAAGGCAGCGGCGCATCTTTGGACATTCTGAGTGGGAGGCCGAGGTGGAGACGGATACAGTGCAGAGGGGGGGCTGCAGTATATCCTATTTGACAAGGATGGGTGGTGATTAAAATGTGGAACGCTGAATGCTCTGGTTTAAGAAACCTCATCAAGGCTGTTGTGCTGTTTTCTAAAAATAAGCACTTACTTTAATATTGCTCCAATAAACCAAAGCTGAACGGCTTGTTGGAAGGAAAAAAAACAAAAAAACAACAACACATGGAAACGTGTGATAGCCTAATAGCATCCGAGGCCACGTTGCCTGTCATGAGATGAAATTAAGGAGCTTAATAAGTAAACAGGAAGACAATGAGGAGGAGTTCTGTCTAATTAATAGTTTATCACACAATCATAAGCTCGATTGACCTTCTGTACATCCATTCGAGGAGTACAGAATGAGAGATTAGCTGGTAACAGGCCACTAAAAGACATCAAAAGTGCATTCGCTGCATTATGCATGGTATATTTATTACTAAAGGAACATGATAAATGAGAGGAAAAGTACTTTGCCGTGTTCTGTGTGGGAAGTCAGTGTAGTCTTCTGAAGTTTGTGATTATAATGATTTTGTTTTAAGGGAACATTGATGAGCATATTGTCTTTTTATAATGAGTTTAATTCAACTCAGGTATTTTGAAGTGAAACCAATGTATTGGTATTTTCTTAAAGCCACAGTTAGGATTCTCCTTAAAGAACGTGAATAGACTTACAGAGTTACTGGCTTGTGGGGAGTTTACTGTCCAGAATGTAATTTACTCATCACTTTATCCTTTTATAAGATCTTAGTTTATTCTAAAAAGGCGTTTTTATCATTATTTGATACATAACAGAATTTACAAAGGCCCCATTATGGTAAAAATTAGTTTTTCACACCTTTTTGTGTTCTTTATTATTATATACTAACTGCAGCTTATTATCTGGTTAAATTGGAGTAGAATATTATTATCGAGCAAGGTGAAAATGATTCTCAGGACAAGTTTGTGTAACCGATGTTTCCTTCAAGGAGCTTCTTGATTTGTATCCTCAGGTATGATAAGGAACACACTTGAAACCGAATCGGTTGCATTACAACCAGCCACATAATGCTTTGAGCCATCAAACACAGACTGAGTCAAATATGTGTCAACATAAACCTTTACTTGTGGGGAAATCACTGCGTGCAATATGAGAAAGAAAATCAATATCAAGTACAATAGTGGTGTTTTCAACTTAATCTAGTAGTGTGCTGGCATTACACACCCCTGTCCTTTAATCCCTGTTGAGGAGAGAGTTATCGACTGGAGTCATTGATCCACCTGAACCAACATCTAACGTCTGAATATTTCAATAACCTGGTGGGCTCCTTCCCCTGGGAGCCAGATGTGACTCAGGTATAACTGAGGCAAAACAAAGGACGTTAGTACTCTATTAGTCACGCTGCTTACGGTCTGTCTCTGTCTGTGTGTGTGTGTGTGTGTGTGTGTGTGTGTGTGTGTGTGTGTGTGTGTGTTTGAGTGTGCGTGGGCCAGTGATGTAAAGGCTTCATTCACCAGCGAGGCCGGTGCTCGTCCAGCTTTCTCTCAGTGCCGTGGGGTGGAAAGACAGAGCGGAGGAGGTGTTGGGTTTCCTCTCTCCCGGTCTGCATAATATGACACAGCGGCACAAGCACCTTCTGTCATAGCCCAGCATCCCTGCCCCCCCCCCCCCCGTTCCTCTCATCCATCCCACGATCATTAAAACGAGAAAACCCCCCGCTGAATAAAACTGCTATTTTTCCGTTAAACCAGGGCCTCTGTGTCCCGATGCAGCGTTTCCCTTTTCATTTTTTAAAAGCCCCCAGGTCTTTCATCCCAAAGTCAATTTTGCCTGGCGGTTAGTCAAATGCTTTAAATGTTTATAAGTGCCTGTGAAGAGTGTAAGCTTTAAGTGTGATAGACTACCCTGGGACCGGGGGCCGGGCTGTGTGGAGGAAAAATGAGGCTAGATGAACAGCCTGGGCTAAAAATGAATGCTTGTTGGTGGCAGACTGTGGAAGGTCTGGATGGGATTATAATGGGCTGATTACGGTGGAATTGTCTCTATGTTAGGATTACTATCTGACATGACTATAGAGCGATGCTGAAACAAATGGAATTAGTTTCATTACATCATTTGATTTATTAGATATTTATTTATCTTCGATGGCCCAGTTTGTATCTGGTTCGGCCTGCACACCGTGGATGCCGCTCTGCACAAAGAGCTTTTTCCCGGCTTGTGACAAACCACATACTGCAGGCTGAGTGAGGAGCGCCTCCCAAATTACAGTTTAGTGGTTGTTTTATGTTAACGCTCAGGGTACTAGATCATCGTACGTCATATCATTATCGTATTAGGACTGATTAATTGTATTCTAGATGTGTCTGCTTCATATGAGCTGTGCAGCTTGCGGATCCTTCTTGTGACAGAGCTGGTCCGCCTGGAGAAATTGACGTTGGCTGAAGTGAAAGTCCTCTCTGCAGCCTCTTGCTCGATGGTGTCGTGGTCCGTTATATTTCCTTCGCATGAGAAGC